CGAGGAGCAGCTGGTGAGCTTGAACTGCCAACCTTGCAGTTCAAATGGCTTTGCAGTCTGACGCATTCACCCACAGCGCCACACCAGGACTCTTTTAATTTCTACCTTGACCTAGGGGTCATTTAGAAACATTTAGAAAAATGACCTATGGGTCATTTGCAAACATCCGAGGGTTGTTGTTGTTAAGTGTCATCGACACATAGTGTTCAGACACATAATGACCCTCTTTAGGGTTTCCGAGGAGCGGCTGGTGAGTTTGAACCGCCAACCTTGAGGTTCCAACAGACCTTGAGGTCCAGTGCATTATCCCACAGTGCCACACCGAACATTTGCAGACATTTGGGGGTACGCCAGAGATATTTCTGACATTGGTTTCTAAGTTTACTTCCTGTGGTCTAAGAGCATACATTGTATGTTTTCCCATCCTTTTAAGTTGATGGAGACTTAGTTTGTTGCCCAGATATATTCTATCTTGCTAAATATTCTCTGTGGACTGGACCCAGAACTTAGACTAGATTACATTGAAAACATTGTGTGGTTGAATGTTCATGTTTCCTGTATCCTTACTGATGGTCTGTCTTCTTGCGCTATCCTTTTTTTTTTTTACTTTTTCAACTGATTGAATTATATTTCTGTGTGTTGTGGAAAGTGATTACATTTTATTACATTAGATTACATCATCGAGTCCTGGCGTGGCACTGTAGGATAAAGCACTGGACCTCTGTGGCAGCTTGAGCCACCAGGTCAGAGGCTCAAACACCCTATACAGGGTCACTATGAGTCAGATGACATTATGGATGACACTATAGAACAGAAAGTAGTCTAGTGTTTGGCCTAGTTGACTTATGAAATTAATCATCATAAGAGTTTCCGAATCTTTCTTAGGCCTAATACTAGAACAATGCTTGAACTTGAACATGATTGAAAATGGATGCGTGATTTTCCAGTTATCTCCAACACACTCTTATTTCTTGCGCTGTTCCTCTCTACACATGGCTTTGAGATAATCCTTAAATTTTTAGAATATCCTAAAGTTCAAAGCCATGGAAAACCAAACCACATGCAAAAAATTGTCAAAAGTCTTTAAATCCTTTTATTTGCTTTTATACAGATGTTTTACTTTGGTTTTACCAATTCTTGAGAAAGAAGTATTGTGGCTTCATTTCTTCTTTCAGTTCTGTCGGGTTTTGCATTGTATAGTCAGCTCTGTTATCAGTTGCATGCAAGTTTAGGATGGGTGTGTCCTGTTGGTGAACTGAGCACCCTTAGTAATGGTCCTTGTTCTGAAATGAATCTTGTCACATAAGAGAACAACCCCTAGGGTCACCTGGAGTGCAGGGCCACTGTGTTCCTGGACCTTCATCCACAAGCAGAGATTCCCAGTAAGGCCAAAAAACACCATGGTCAAGTTCACTCGAGTGAGGAGGCTGGGGATGCTCTCGGTCTCCTTTACTGAGTGATGCCATGGAAGAAGCCAGAAGCATCTAGAACCAAAGACAGGCATTGAAAGACTGTGAAGGGGAGGGGCACAAGGGCGATCTCTGGTCAGCATCTGAACTTTAATGCTTTCCTCACCTTCTTCTGTGTTCCGGACCCCACTCACAGCTCCTGGAAAAGTGGATCTTGTCGGAGAAAGAATGGGAGCGGGAGAAGGCCATGCATCTCCATCTTCGCCTAATGCAGATCTACGTCCAAAGTGTAGGCGTCTGTGTGAGTCGGGGCCTCCCCAGCCGGCCATTCAGACACCCGCTGAGGAATTTCCCTGGCAGTGAGAAGATGGGAACTTGAAACTGAATTCTGCCCCTGAGGGGAAGAGGGAAGGGATGCCCTCTCTGGGGGTCATGATGAGTAGACATAGAGTCTGGGGTGGACGAGAGAAGGGACGGTTGGACTGGACCCTGGCTGGACCCCAGTTGATTACAGCTCATAGTGATTCTATAGGACAGAGTAGAACAGCTCCACAGGGTTTCAGAAGCTGACAGTTTTACAAAAGTACATGGCCTTATAGTTCTCCCAAAGACTGGCTAGTAGGTTTGAACTGCCAATCTTTTGGTTAGCAGCTCAACACTTAACCCACTGTGGCACCAAGGGTCCATCGTGCAAGGAGAAGGGTAAACTGTTAAGAATGCAGCACATTTAAGGAAGTGAATGCTAACTTAGAACAAGAAAAGGGATCCTAGCAAAATTACCAAGTCTGACACACAAATTGCAAAGTCTAGAGAAACTGTAGAATGTTTCTGTTGATTAGCTTCCCGGTAGAGCTCTATGAAGTCTTCTTTTCAACATTTGTTGGCTCTACACTCTTTGAAGGAGCTCTGGTAGCATAGTGGTTACAAGTCGGGCTATGAACCTCAGGGTCAGCAGTTCGAAACTACCAGTTGTTCCATGGGAGAAAAATGAGGCTTTCTGCTTCCATAAAGATTTACAGCCTCGGAAACCCTATACAGGGTCACTATGAGTCAGAACCGACTCCACGGAACATAACAACAACAACAACACTCTTTGATTGCCTTGTCTTCAGGGACAGCTGGCAGGGAAGCAGGGGGATGATCCCCATCCTGGGGTTGGGGTGCAGGGGTGGTCGGCCTCACGACCTGGGACTATTGAGTGGTGAGGACAAGGTGGACCTGTGAGGGTCCTGTGGCCACTGTAACAAGTCACCACACACTGGGTGGCTTAGAACAACGGACAGTTGTTCTGTCATGATTCTGGAAGCTGTTGTCATTAGGTTGAGTCAGTTCTGATGCAGCGACCCCGTGTAAAACAGAAGGAAACCCTTCCTTCCCCGCTCCGCACCAGCTTCACTGTTGTTGCAGACACTGTGTTTTCCATCTTACCGAGACTCATCCTCTTGTTCGCTGATCCTCCACTTTATCAAGCATGCTGTCCTTCTCCGGGGACTCATCCCTCACGAAAACATGTCCAAAGTACGTGAGACCATGTCTGGACATCCTGGCTTCTATGGAGCATTCTGACTGCACTTCTTCCAAAACAGATTTGTTTGCAGTCGAGCTCTAGGTCATTTTCAGCAGCCCTTGGTGTTTCTTGTCTTGTAGACCCATCATCCCAATCTCAGTCTTCATCTTCTCTCTACAGTTCTGTCTATGCATGTTCATCTGAGCTGTTTACACCTGCAAAGTCTCTATTTCCAAATCAGGTCACATTCTGAACTGCTGCTTAGACATGGAGGTTGTTATTGTTGTTGTTAAGTGCCGTCGAGTCGGTTCTGACCCATAGAGATCCTGTACAGGGTTTCCGAGGCTGTAAATCTTTACAGGAGCAGAAAGCGTCATCTTTCTCCCGCGGAGCAGCTAGTAGTTTCGAACTGCTGACCTTGCGGTTCGCAGCCCGATTCGTAACCACTACGCTACCAGAGCTCCTTAGACATGGATGTTAGGAGGACACTATTCAACCCAGCACAGAGGGGCAGGGCCCAGTCCTGGGACACTGGGAAGTGAGGTAGGACCCACACTGATCCAGGTGACTTTGAGGCCAGGCCATGCACAGACATTACCGTTTGGACCATGTGACTCAATTCTCACAGCACTCACTGGGAGGGGAGGTGCCATGGAGCTTTGACAGGAGTGTGAAGGTCTGAGAGGTTAAGGAAGGACCCAGCCACAGAGCCCAGGGACACAGAAACGGGGATCAAGGTGGACACAGAAACTCAGCACACTCAGGGGTCCTCTGACCACTGGGGGTCGAGCTGTGGGCCTGTCATTCAGGGGAATGACAGGAAGCTTGTAGGAGGCAGATGATGGTGGCATCTTCTCCTTGCCCGATGGGTGTGTCCACGCTGCCCACCCTCTCCACTGGCCCTGACAACACCAGGTGAGCTGAGTGAATCCTGTCACCCACAGATTCCCTTGAAGCTCGGACAGTTTGGCATCCTGGTGGGACTCATCGCCCCTTGTACCTGCGACTCCCACCGAAGAACGCGAGTGGCCTCCATTGACGTCCTGTCCAGTCTGCTGGACCTTCATGGTACAGTAGGGCCTGGGGTCCAGCCTCCCCGGACTGGGTGGGAGGAGGTGGGTGTGATGTGGACACACTGTGCAAGTGGGCATGTGGACAAACCAGGGTGACCAGGGAAGAGGGTGGAGAGGGGGGAGCGCTCATCAGAAGCATCCAGGAGGAAGGCTGGCTGGTCAGCGTGACTCATGGGGGATTTAGGAGTGAGGTCAGCATCCAGAGATCAAAGACAAGGCAGGCGGGGCATCAGGGGAGAGTCTCTTGTGTAGAGGGGGCTGGGAGCTGCCCACCAGGTGGTTGGGGCCTTGTGTGAGTGGGAATGTAGAGGGAGGAAATAATGTCTAGAGACCAGAGAGTGGCCGGGCCTCCTAGAGCCAGGAGACAGAACCTCTGGGGACAGTCATCCCAAAGCCTTGTCTGTGCTGAGCTTGTCTGTTGTGGTCTTCCACCAGCCAGCCAGACCTGCTCCTTGTGGGAAGCGTCCAAGGAGAAAGAGCTAATGAAGTGTAAAGAGGACCTTGGGGGCTCCGACGAGGACAAGATTTTCTGTGCATCCTCCAGAATAGCTAAGGTGACAAGCTGCTAGGGTTGTGTGGGGCACTGACCGGTCACCTTGTGCCTGTGGCCACTTGGAAGTGGAGGGACCTTCCTTGGCCTAGCTGCGCCTCCCACCTTCTCCTGCAGAGGGCACTGCCTCCCCAGCCTGGTCCAACTCCACACCATCTGCATTCAAAACATTGGGAAGCATGTGGCCTGCACATAGTGCGTGCTTTTCGTCACCCCTGCTGTCTTCTCTCCTCCCTGTGCCACTGCCTGGTGACTGTAGTACGAGAAAGTGCCCAGAGCCACCCAAACAGAAGGCCAGACTTCCGCCTCAGGGGGCTTGTGGAGAGGCAGGCCCAGGCCCAGATGAGACAGTGTTTGGAATGAGGCTTCCTGTGGTGCTTGGGGTGGTGGGAGGCAAGGGCTGGGGCACATTGGATTCTGGGGCAATGGCAGTTTGAAGCAGAGGGGTGATGTGCCGGGTAGACCTGAGAGATAGCTTGAGTGGAAGAGAAAGGGGCTGAATGTGGGGGAGGCTTGGGCTTTGGCTACTGACCCCCAGGAGGGCCTGCTCTGGTCCTAGGTGGTATGCATGGAGTTTAACTGCGACGAGGTGGTGGCTCTCATCCAGAAGCTCTGTGAGAACATTGGGGCCATGGACCTCCAGCACGACAAGGCCTCTGTCAGCTGGATTGGCACTTTCCTTCAGATGCGGGTCAAGGAGCTGGAGGACAAGGTGGCGAGGAACAGGCCCCAGCCTGACTGAGTAGGGGTGGGGGGCCCTCCTGCCCTCACTGGGAACGTTTCTCCCAAACTCCTGGTGGTTGAGGATGAGGAAGAAGAAGTAGGGTTCTCCAATGAGAAAGAAGTCACTGGTGGGTAAAAGGAGGATGGGCTCCAGGCCCACGGCTCTCCTCAGAGTCTGCCACCTCCCACACCAAAACCCAGTAAAATTAGTTCCAGAAAGAGACCGAAGGCTGTCAAAAGGGTGCTGTTTGCTAAACAAGCATTGCTTAATGGAGCAAGAGTCCTTGGGGTGGGAGCAAAAGGCCAGTGGGCCCAGGCTGAGCCTGTGATTCCCTGCCTCACCACTAGGTGGCAGAGATCCTGGGCACCATCTTGGCCCACCTTCCCCTGTTGGACCACCTTGAGGTACGGCGCCTCCTCATTGAAGGCATCCTACTGCTGGCTCACTACCACCAGGAGACCGTCCTCACGTCGCTCCTGAGGCAGCCCCTGCCCATGGAGAGGTGGGTGCCCCCCACAGCCTCCTGTGACAGCCAAGCTCAGTGGCATTTCTAGGAGTGTGCAGACAGCACCGGGTGACCTAGTCAGAGGACGTGGAGTTGCTATGCACTGTCGCAGCAGAAATTTATTATTTTTATTAAAATATCCCTGCAGTTAGTTATAACAACAAAAGCATTTTTCATAACCCCAGCTTATACGTATATCTACAAGGTTAGAACTTGGTGCTAATTTCCTTTTGGGACCTTTTAGTTATGAGTCCTGGTGTGGTGCTGTGGGTTAATGTGCTGGACTGCAAGGTCGGCTTGAGCTGAAAGGTCGGCAGTTCAAGCTTACCAGCTGCTCCTTGGAAACTATACAGGGTCGCTATGAGTCAGAACTCACTTGATGGCACTTATCCACAACACTATGTTCAGAGCTCTCTTTAGTACCCAGTTCCAATGGAATCACACAGCTTCATCTGTATGAGCTACAAGCACATGCTGTTGTTTTTGTTCCTGACATAAATAGTATTAGGGACATACTTAGGACATATTATCAGGAGGAAGTCATCCCTAGAGAAGGACATCATGATTGGTAAAGTGGAGGGTCAGCAAAAAAGCAAAGACCCCCAACAGGATGGATTGGTACAGTGGCAGCAGCAATGGGCTTAAGCGCAGCAGTGATTGTGAGGACGGCGTAGGAACGGACAGTGTTTCGTTCTGTCCTACGTAGGATCGGTATGACTCAATGGCAGCTAAAAACAACAATATTAGTAAATCGACATCAATAACTTTTTACAGAATGAAACCATCATTAAAGAAAAGCAGGAGAAAACACATTTTGAAAAGACTTATACGTATATCTACAAGGTTAGAACTTGGTGCTAATTTCCTTTTGGGACCTACTAAAACGGTTGCAAAGAATAACGTCATTCAACGTAGAAAGATTTTTACAGAACAATCTGTTGCTGTTCTTAGGTGTTGGTTCCAGCTCATATTGAACCTGTGTAGAGTCTGAGAGGCGGCAAATCTTCACAGAAGCAGAAAGCCTCAGATTTCTCCCTCAGAGTGGCTGGAGGTGGATTTGAACTGCCAAACTTGTAGTTAGCAGTCTAGTGCTTATCTTACGGTGCCACTCGCACTTGTCATCTACAAAACAATGGAGTATTCATACAATCTAAAAAGTAGTGCATTTAAGCTATTTACAGTTATACTCACCACATATTATTCTGTGATTAAGACTGGTACCGCACATGACTGAGGATTCTGTATGGGCTCATATGGGAAAAGGGCTGAGTCGGGGCTGACCCCATGAGTTACCAAACTGGGTGACAACCACCCTAGTAACACCACTGCCCAGATGACCCCCAGGGGCACATCCCAAAAGATGGGGGTCTTAAATAGTACCTTGTCTAACCTTGGGGTGGGTCAGCTACCCCTCTCTCATATCTCCTGTGTGGCTATCAACTTCCAGTGAACCTCAACCTTGAGCCCCAACTTCTACAGCTTTGTCACATCGACCTGAAGCCCTTGTGGCCTAGTGGTTAAGTGCTCAGCTGCTAACCAAAAGGTCAGCAGTTCAAATACACCAGCTGCCCCGGGAGGAAAGATGTAGTAGCCTTAGAAATCCTATGGGGCAATTCTACTCTGTTCTATAGGGTCCCTAAGAGTTGGAACAGACTTGAAGGTAGTGTGTTGTGTTTGTTTGTTTTTTATTCTCCCGTTGTCTTGGTTGTCCCTGCTGGGCAGTGCCCACAGAGTTCCCTACTGCTCCCTGTGGAGAACAGAGCTCTTGGGTTCCCTCTGATGCTGAGTTTGGGGTCCTCCTGTAGAAACCAGACCAACCAGCTGCTTGAGTCTCTTCTGACTCAAGGTGTCCTCATAAATCTTAAAGCAAAACTGCTCCACAGGGTTTTCAGAAGGAGATCATCAGGCCTTTCTTCCAAGGTGCCTCTCTCTGTGTGGTTGTTAAGCGCCATTAAGTCATTTCCAACTCATAGCGACCCTGTACAGGGTTCCTGAGGAGTAGCTGGTGATTTTGAACCTCCAGCCTTGTGGTTCAAAACGACTTTGTGGTCCAGTGCTTGTCGTGTGGTGCCACACCTCTGGGTAGAGTCAAACTGCCAACCTTTGGTTAGCAGCTTGGGTACCAGGGAAAACCTGCTGCTATGGAATCCATGATGACCGCATCCCGTGTGTTACAGAGTCTAGCTGCTCCGTACAGTTTTCTTGGCTGTAGACCTAACACAAGCAGATCACCACCAGGCCTTCTTCCACGGAGCTGCTGTGTGGAGTCAAACCACCAACCTTTAAGGAAGGCCGTTTCTGATTACAGTGTTAACTTGATTTCTGTGAGGTTCGGCTTCCTCTTCTGTAGAATTTGTTCAAAGATTTGCTGTGAGCCTTGAATGGCACAACCATTACTTAGCCCCAGGCCTTACTTGGTGGAGGCTGTTAGTGGGCATGCTCATAAAGACATCAGGAAGAAATCCTGGTGGAGACTCCCCAGGTCACCTGTGGTACCAGAAACCGGGAGCACATCAGACCAGAGCTGAAGTCTCTAGATCTGGATGAATTCAGGGCCCTGGGATCTACCCTTAGGCAGGTCACTTCACTTCCCTGAGACTCCGTGATCCAAGAAGTAGAAAGGGCCTCTTACCTGCCAGGGCACAAGACCTGAAACCCTCCCTCCCTTACCTGTCTTGTTAGCCACCTGACCGAGGTGTGGTTGGCGGTGGCGGAGAACGTACCCTTTGCACGGACCATGCTCAATGGCCTGATGGGCCGGCTCCAGTCCAGGTTAAACTCCCGGGCAAACGCCACCTCCAAGGCTGACATCTGGCGGCTGGCTGCAGTGGACCCCCTGATGGTGAGTGGTAGGGATGGGCCGGCAGGGGGCGCTGCAGAGTCGCCAGGCTGGAACCCGGTGGTCTGCTGTCTGCTCTCCTCAGACCCTATGCACCATCCACCTGCTGGTGGACAAGGTTGACCAGGCGGACACGCTCCCGGACCTCCTCCCGGACCTGGTCTACACTCTGCTTCTGCAGCTGAGCAGCAGCCACAGCCCCAAATCTGCGTCCCCCGCCCTGAAGACGTGGAGGCTGGTGCACGCCGGGACCCTGCCCGAGGAGCTCAGCATGCACAGGTGCTCCTGAGGGCGGGCGGTGGGAGGGGCCTCCAGGGTGCCAGTTAGCTGGCCTCTTAGAAACCAGAGAGGCCACGTGCCATCTCCTCCCATTGTCCTCTCCTGGTGGGAAGGAGATGATTCTGGAAGGATGCCACCCATGTTTACAGCATGCCGTGGTGTTCCCAGGATCGCCCCCTTTATTCCCTGAGCTCGCCCCAGAAGACACTGTGAGCCCATTTCACAGACCGGAGAACTGAGGCTCACACCCTGGCATTAGCAGCATTAGCAGCAGCGAGTGGCCCCCACTCTCCTGCCCGTGCCCGCTGTTCACCCCCTGAGGCACCTAACGCCCACCTTCCCTAGGATCACCATCAAATCCATGCAACTCTTGTTCAAGAGAACCCACCGCGAGTGCTTGGTGCAGGGCCTGGAGGAGCAGGGCGTGTGGGGTCGCCTGGAGAACAGTGCCACCTTCCTGGAAGGCGTGGGCCTGCTCGCCAGGTGGGTATCTCCCCCCAGCTGCCACCCCTGCCTTAAAGGGCCAAGTCCAGGTCATGGCAGAACGCTGGTAGTATCCCGCTTGATGCCACGATCCGCGCAACGGCTCCACGTTCCCGACTCGGGAGGGTTGCGTCTTGTGAGGCAGTTCCCGCACCAGTGCCCTTGAGTTGACTCCGACTCACGGCGCGCCCTTGTGTGTCAGAGCACATAGGTGCTCCGTGGCTTCTTCATTGGCTGGTCTTTGAAAGTAGACCGAAAGGCCTTTCTGTTGTATGGAACCCTGATGGGGCAGTGGGCGGCTCGAACCCGCTGGGAGAAAGACGAGGCTGTGTGCTCCCATAAAGGTTGGAAGTCTTGGAAACTCTTTGTCTTCTAGAGTGGATATGAGTCAGAAGCTACTCAGGGGCCGTGGGTTTTTCCTTTTGAGGTGCCTCCACGAGGAATGAATGGCTGACCTTTGGGTTAGCAGTTGGGCATTTAAACGCTTGCAGTCCACAGGGACTTATTCCACTCCTCCCTTCTTGTTTATGAGGAGGAAGCAGAAAGAATTTCAGCAGCACCCGGGACTCTCTGAACAGAGGAGGAGTCCTGGTGGCACAGCAGGTTAAGCCTTGTGCTGCTAACTGAAAGGTTGGTAGTTCGAACTCACCAAGGACTCCCTCCAGGAGGAGGGAGGAAAGGAATGAGGCAATCTGACTCCATAAAGATTTAAAGCCGTGGAAACCGGATGGAATTCTACTCAGTCCTAATATGAGCTGGAATCAACTTGACTGCAGAGGAAATCACTTGTAGCGTCCCTGTGTGGTGCAAAGAATTAACTAAAGGTTGGCAGTTTGAAGGCACCCAGAAGCACCTTGGAAGAAAGACCTGGCAATGTACTTCCAAAAACGCTGCTGAAAATCCTATGGATCAGGAACAAGAGGAGAAGAGAGAAGGTGTAGTTAATTGCTTCAGTGAACAACTCTCTCCTTAGCCATGAGACCAAAAGAACTGGATGGTGCCTGGCTACTATTACCGAACATTTTGATCAAAGACTTCATAGAAGAATCATGATCAAAAGGGGGAAATGTAGAACATAATTTCACATTTTCATGGACTCCAGACTTTGGAGTTATGGATGCTGATTGCACCCCTGAGACTATTGTTCTGAGAGAATCTTTAAACCTTAAGGCAAAGCTTTCCCCTGAAGTCTTCTTAAAGTCAAACAATAGTCTAACTTAACTAGTATAAAACATTTACCTTGAGCAGTGTGTTCCTGTAAGAACTATCTGCACAGGATCATGGCCGCTGGAGCTGTTCCACAGGAAACTTAGGGCCAAGGAAGTGATATTCACGGGGGCGGGCTCAGAAAAGGAGGGCTGGGAATGGTCGTACAGCTCGAAGAATGTCTTCAGAGTTGCTGAAGGTCCATGTAGAAACTGTTGAGCTGTGCTTTGCTGTGCACATTCTCAACAAACACAATTCAAAGGAAGCTTGATGGAGCACACTTCCTCTCTGACACACACGGAGTCGCCGTGAGTTGGAGTCGACTCAGTGACAGGTGGTTTGGTTCTCCTGTTTGGTTTTTTGGTGGCTCATAAGTGGCCCTCATCTAAGTCCCCTTCTATGAACCCAACACCGAAACCAGACCCACTACTGTTGAACCATCGAGCCAATCCCGACTCAGTAAGACCCAGTAAAACTACCCCAGGTGGTTTCTGAGGCAGTAAATCTTTACTGAAGGAACAGCTGGTGGCTTCAAACCACTGACCTGTTGGTAGCAGCCAAGTGCTTAACACGTGGTGCCACCAGGGCCCCTTTCTGATATAAAAGGGGGATGGGAAGTCCATACTTCAGCAACAACCTGACCAAACCCCACGTCACCCGGAGCCTACGAGTCTCGAGCTGGGCTGCCCGTCTCTCCCCAGGTTGTGGTTGCAGCACATGGGAGACCACAGGCGGCAGCTGGCCGAGTTGGTGCTCAGGGGCATGGACGCTGAGGTCCTGAGCTGCCGCATCAGCAGCACGGCAGTGTGTGTGGAAGTGAGGCACTCTCTGGGGCCCCTTGGGAGGGCTCGGGTCAGGGCCGGGGGTCCCCATTTCTGAGGGACATGGAATTAGGGGGCAGGCAGGCTTCCCTTCTTTCTTTCTTCCCTCGCTCCCTCCTCGGGAGCAGTCCAGGGCAGGCAACTGGGGGAGACACATGCTGGACACTAACGGACATGTGATGTGTTAAGTGCCGGCCACACCTCAGGATCCTAGAGGTGGCCCCTCGGTCCCTCACTGGGACTGGGGTCCAGGGAAGGCCCTGTGCAAGAAGGGTGCCGCATGACAAACAGAGTATACCAGGAGGGGTTACAGACACTTGAGCCCAGCTTCCTTTTATACAGTTGGCACGCTTATGAGATCCCAAGGGAATTGGCTAGAAAATTCTAGAAGTTTTATTAACAGGCTGGTGCCCAATACACCGAACCAAAAAACCAGACCCACTGCCATTGAATGCATTCCGAGTCATTGCCACCCCATATAGGGTTCCCATCTTATGGAAGTTCACAGTCTTATCTTCCTCCCAAGGATCCGCTGGTGGATTTGAACCTCAGACCTTGTGGTTAGCACCGCAATGCCTAACCCACAGCACAACTGGGACTCCTTGCCCAATATACAAGAGGCACTAAACGACAGCCTTTTGCAGGGGTTGGCTAATTTTTCTGTAAAGATGTGGCAAGCAATATTTTCAATTTTGTGGGCTATGTGGTCTTTGTTGTGATGACCAAATTCAACTATGGTAGCTCAAAATCAGTAATAGACAACACAAAAACCAATGGGCATGGCTGTGTTCCAATAAAACTTCATTGGTAGCAACTGGAACTTAAATGTCATATAAATTTCATATATCATGAACCTTCAGTTTTTTTCCAGTTACTTAAAAATGCAAAACAACAAAAATCCAATTTTAAAAAGGACAAAGGACTTACATAGGAATTTCTTCAAAAAAGATTTACAAATGGCCAATTGTTAAGTGCCGTTGGGTCGGTTCCGACTCCTAGACCCTGTATAGGGCTTCCAAAGCTGTACATCTTTGTGGGAGCAGAAAGTTTCATCTTTCTCCTGTGGAGTGGCTGGTGGGTTCAAACCGCTGACTTTGTGGTTTGCAGTCCAGTGCTTATCCTACAGAGCCACCACACTGCTCCAAATGGCCAATGAACAGATGTGTACCATCATTAGCCATTTGCTGTTTTGTTTGGAGCCTCAAGTCTCTTCCAACACATAGTGGTCCTGCGCCATCTGCACAATTGTTAGTTATGCTTGAGGTCACGCTTGCAGTTGCTGTGTTAAAGAATTCATCTTGTTAGGGGTCTTCCTCTTTTGTGCGGCCCCTCTACTTTACCAAGCAGAATGTCCTTCTCCAGGGACTGGTCCAATGTATCTTGATGAAGTCCCAGCATCCTCACTTCTAAGAAGAATTCTTTTTCCTTATTTAAAAACTTTTTATTGTGAATTGAGTGGCGGTTTACAAACAAGATCATCAGTTTTACATTCAGCAAACCACACTCTTTGTTTCATCTCAACGCTGACAGTCCTCTTCACGCAACAATTGCCCTACTTTTTTATTTTGATTCCATCCTCCTTCCCATCTTTTGTCAATTTTGTCATTAGGTAAATGTTGCTTTTTTGATCTTGAATGATTTGATCATTCCATGGTGAACACACCTTACTTGTATTGTTGTCCCCATCTATGTATCTATTTCCTGCTTACCTGAAATTTGGACCATTTAACTGAGTTCCATTCCAGACCTGAAAGGTGGTCAAGAGCCATAGATTTAGGTTCCTCCTGTTTCTTTCAGGCCAGTAGAGTCTGTTTTTAAAAATTTTTGAGTTTTGTTGCACATTTTCTCCCACTCCATCTGGGACCTTCCAATGTGGTGTTGGAGGAGAATACTGAAAGTGCCATGGATTGCCAAAAGAACCAATAGATCTGTTTTGGAAGAAGTGTAGCCAGAGTGCTCCTTAGAGGGCAAGATGGCTAAGCTTCGTCTCTCATACTTTGGACACATTGTCCGGAGGAAACAGTCGCTGGAGAAGGATGTCATGCTGGGTAAGGTGGAGGGTCAGAGAAAAAGAGGAAGACCCCTAACGAGATGGATTGGCCAGGTGACATCATTGATGGACTCAAGTGTGGCAGCGGTAGTGAGGTTGGCCCAGGATCGGACATTGTTTCGTTCTGCTGTGCATGGGGTGGCTATGAGTCGGTTCCGACTCGATGGCACCTGACAACAACAACAACAACAACAATCTGGGACCTTCTAATGTGGATTCCTTTCTGAGCGGTTGGTAGCTGGGCACTTTCTAGTGCTGACCTGATGGTGACTGATATTCACCTGCTCCATTGATCTATTGGACCAGCCTATTCCACACATCTTTGTTCAGTTTTCATCACCTTTTTTCTTCTGAACACGGAGAGACCAACAGTTGCACTGTAGACGGCCGCTCATGAGCTTCTAAGATTCCAGATGCTACTCACCCAAGTAGGATGTAGAACATAGTTTTTGTAGACTCTGCTATGCCAGTTGACCATGGTGTTCCCTGAAACTAGGGTCCTGAGCCCCCAGGCCCATTATCTTAAGAGGTCTGGTAATATCTTAATATCTTAAGAAGTTTTCCTATTTTCCCCCCGGTATGCTTCACCACACTCACAAGTGTATTTGCAGCAAAGGTAAATACCCAGGTACAAATATCCTCTCAAAATCTTGTATACTTGTGGGTATATTCCCACTCTCTAAAGTGTTCTAGCTGTACTTCTTCCAAGATTGATTTCTTTGTTCTTCTGGCAGTCCATGGTACGTTCAATGTTTTCTTCACCATTACTAAAATTCAAAGGCATCAATTCTTCTTTATTAATTATCCAGCATTCGAATTAGTCACTACCCCCTAACTTACTGTCACTGAGTTGCTTCCGACTCACAGTGAACCTTTTTAGGGTTTCCGAGGCTGTGACTCTTTAAGGGAGCAGATAGCCTCATCTTTCTCCCTTGGAGCAGCTGGTGGGTTTGAACTGCTAACTTTGTGGTTAGCAGTTCTGCTACAGCTGAATGCAAATCAATGAGGTGCTGTCTCATATCCACTGGTGGTGGTGATGTACCGTGGAGTCGGTTTGGACTCATGGCGACCCTGTATAGGGTTTCTGAGGCTGAAAATCTTTACTGGAGCAGAAAGCCTCATCTTTCTCCCTCGGATACTGCTGGTAGTTTCGCTGACTGAGATGAGCAGCCTGACTCATAACCACTACGCTACCAGAGTTCCTTTCGTGTCCCCTAGCATGGCTATTATTAACAAACAAACAAACAGAAACAGAAAAAACAGCAATTGTTGAAGTCCTCAACCGTTCCTAGTGTGAAAATAACACAGTGCAGTCACCTTGGAAAACAGTATGGGGCTGCTGAAAAAGGTTTAACATAGAGCTGTCGTTGTTAAGTGCTATCGAGTCGGTTTCCTAGGAGCAGCTGGTGGGTTTGAACTGCTGATGACTTTGCAGTGCACACCAACCTTGTGGTCCAGTGCTTATCCACGACTCCATATGATTCAGTAATTCCACTACTAGGTATATCCCAAATATACCCAAAAGAACCGAAAGCAGGCGCTCAGACAGATCCTTGAACTGGAACGTCCTAAGTAGTGTTATTCCCAAGAGTCAAAAGGTGGGAATGAATGATCCACGACCATCAAAAGAACTCGTGAATAAACGATAAGTGATATATACATAAGATGGGATATTCTCAGTCATAAAGAGAGTGTTACAACATGAGCAAACCTTGGAAACATTATGCTGAGTGACATGTCAGACACAAAAGAACAAATGACACATAATCACATGAAATAGCTAGAATATGGAATACCTTATTAAACCGCTGGAACGAAAATGTGCTGGACCAGAAGGTCAGTGGTTCAAACCCACTCAGAAACCCTATACAGGGTCATTATGGGTCAGAACCGACTCAAGGACACTTAAGAACAACAACAACAAAAATATTTAGATTATGAAATTTCTTATTACACAACCTTAACGAAAACCAGGAGCCAGTGGTAGCATTTTCGTAGACTGAAGTTTGGGGAGTAGATGTCCAGGCCTTTCTTCCTCATTCCTCTTAGTCTGGAAGTTCTGCTGGAACTCATTCAGCATCATAGAGATATGCAGTTCTCCACTGAGAGACTGCTGGTGTGTCTGCATCTGAGGTGCACTAGCCGGGAATTGAACCTAGGTCTCCTGCATAGAAGGCAAGAAGTCTTACCACTGATCTACCACTGTCCCCTACTTTTCTTTGTTGTTGTTGTTAGGGACCATTGAACAACAGAACAAACACTGGCCTGTCCTGCACTAGCCTCACAGTTGTCTGAGCCCATTGGGTCAGCCCATCTTGTTGGGAGCAGTTCTACCCTGACAGCCAGTTCTATTCCGTAACACACAGGGCCGCCAGCAGTCAGAATTGGCCCTGTGGCAGCAGATTCGGGGTTATTGGTTTTTTTTTTTTTTACACATGAGGAAGCCGAGGCCCAGAGAGGTTAAGAACCTTATCAGAGTCCCCCCGCTGTGGGTGCAAAGCCAAGTGGGTTCTGTTACTGGGACTTTCGCCATGCATGGGCCCTACCTTTCAGGGAGAAGCGGGCTGGCTCTTCCTGGTGAAAATTGTGAGACACTCCCCTTCCTAGTTCATGAGCCTCCCGGTTCTGCACCAGGAGAAGCTGCTGAAGACTGCGGTTTCTGTGCTGGAGAGAGGCGTGGACCAGGAGGACGAAGCTCTGCGGGTACTCTCCCTGCGTGCCCTCGGCAACATGGTCCTCGGTGCCCCCAAGAAGGTACCGCACTGCCCTGGCACCTGCCACAGTGTCAGGCCCAAGGTGCAGCCCCCTGAATAGTGGGGGACCATGACCACAGAGCCAGGCCCAAGGTACAGCCCCCTGAATAGTGCGGTACCACGCCCACAGAGCCAGGCCCAGGGTGCAGTCCCCTTAATGGGGGGGGATCATGCCCCCAGAACTAGGCCTGGGGTAGGGACCACACCCTTGGATCCAGGTCTGGACTGTAGCCTCCCCACAAGCTGGGAAGGGGACCACAGGTGGAGGAGGGGTATGTGAGGGGGTACACAGCCGTCTAAGCTGGGTAGGGGGGTGTGCCAGCTGAGAAAGACCGGGGTTGTAGCTCATGAGCTGGGCAGTGAGATTGTGTCCACTGAAGTCCAGCGTGGGAGCTTCTGGTCATTCAGGGAGCTGGCTGGCAGAGGCTGAGGGCCCTGTCCCTCCAGGTGAAGCAATACCGGAAGCTGTTGCTGGAGAAGTTTCTGTGTTCCCTGCAAGACCCTGTCAACACCAGCGTGGCCTTGGAGGGCATGGCGGCCCTGACCAAGGTCCTGACGGAGCTCCGGGAAGGGGACATAGGGCCAGCTTTCAAAGCCATCTCCGAGCAGTGCCGAGTCTACTTCAACAATGTGAGTCCAGAAGGACCCTACTCCCACCAATGCCTGCTCATAAGCACTAGAAAAGGTGTTGTCTGGGACTCAAAGAGGCCCCCAAACCCACCCACTGCCAGCGAGTCAATTCTGACACTGTAAATCTGTGCGGGAGTAGGCAGCCTCGGTTTTCTCCTGAGGAGCAGCTGGTGGGTCTGAACTGCTGACCTTTTGTTAGCAGCTCAATGCCCAACCCACAGTGCTACCAGGGGTCCTTGGAGAAGCCCCAAGGCCTGCTTTAAAACCCACTTGTCATGTGTCAGAGCAGAACTATGCTCCTTGGGGTTTCTAATGGCTGATTTGGGGGACAGAGATTACCAGGCCTTCCTCCTGCGACACCGCTGGGTGGATTCCAGTTAACAGCCCAGCACGTGAACTGTCTGCACCCCAGGGACTCCTGGTCCTACCTGGTAGTGATAGATCTAGTGGCTGATAAGGGGTCCTTGTGAAACACAAGAGAATCAATAGCCTGGGATCATCCACTCATGGGGTCCCTCTGCCCCCCCACTGTTGGGGGATGAGCTTCCCTTCTTGACCCTTGAACCCACAAATACAAATTGTGACTGTCTGTGGAGACTCAGATGAAGCACAAGTCCACCTCTTGGGAGGTCACTGACCCTGAGTAATGTCTGTTCAGTCCTCATGGATTGATCAAGAATGGCCTCACAGGGCAAAAGCCAACCCCCCCCCCCCCCACACACACACATGGACTCTGTGTAGGGTTTCTGAGACTCGTCAATCCTTAGGGGAGCAGACAGCCTCATCTTCCTCCTGAGGACCGCCACGAGGTGGAAGGGTCTAACGTGGCACATGGGGACTTTGCTGGGCTTTAATGGGGCAGGAGCTTTGCTAGGCTTCTTGCTCCTGGGCTCTCAGACACTGCCTGGGCACTTGGCCACAGGAGAACGAGCTGCTGCGGTTGACAGCCTTCGAACTTTTCGGGAAGCTGGCCAAGGTGGTCAGGATATCCAAGAAGCATGTCTTCAAGGTAGAGGTGAAGAAAGCCTGGGTCTCCCTCATGCTGCACTGCCAGGACCCCTGCTGTTACACAGCCAGAGTAAGACACAGTCGCCCCCTTCTCCGCCCACCCCCCCACCCCCATGGCTTACTCCAGGACCCTGGTTCAGTTGACTGTGGGTTTCCCTGTGAGCCCAGATGTCACTGTCCGTGGACCCTCACCCCCAGACCACCCACAGGTCAGCTTTCTAGAGTTTTGCTTCCCGGGAGTTCCCGGGGGGTGCAAACAGTGAACACGCTCAGCAGTTAAACTAAAAGTTCAAGGTTTGAGTCCACCCAGAGGCACCTCGGAAGAAAGACTTCACGATCTGTTTCTGCAAAGGTAACCACTGAAAACCTGCAGTACAGAGTTCTACTCTGCCTCACGCAGATCACCATGAATCCAAATTGGTTCCATGGCAGCTGGCTTTTCTGGTTCAGCTATAGACACAACATGGTTTGCCTGTCCCCACACTCAGCATGTCTCCTTCTCCACAAGCACTGGTTCATTCCTGACAGGCTTTAAACCCGTCTCTGGGGTGGCGCTGTAGGATAAGCACTGGATTTCGAACAGCAAGGTTGGCGGATCAAACCCACCAGCTACTCCTTGGAAAGCCTATACTGGATCGCTATTAGTTGGAACAGATTTGATGGCACATAACAACAAATGCCTCCCCCTGGGTGGGCAAGCTTGGTGTGGGGCTGATTCAGCACAAGAGCCCCGTAGGGAAGAGATACCAAGTCCCTGGCGCTCAGCAGCCAGCCCTGTTGGTGCAGTGGGTTAGGTGTTGAGCTGCTAATTGACAGGCTGCTGGTTCAAACCCACTGAGGGAGATTTACAGTCTCGGAAACCCTAGGAAGCAGTCCCACTCTGTCCTATATAGGGTGGCTCTGAGTTGGAATGGATTGGAATGCAGCGGGTATGCCAGGACCCAGAGTCCTGGTTACATAGTTGTTAAAGCATTGAGCTGCAAACTGAAAGGTCGGCGGTTCAAACCCACTACCCTCTCTGGGAGAGAAAGATGAAGCAGTCTGCTTCTGTAAGGACGACAGTCTCAGAAACCCCATGGAGCAGTTGTGGTCTGTCGTGCAGGGTCGCTGTGAATCCTAATCAACTCCGAGGCAGTGAGTTTGGTTTATATGGTGTTCAGGGAGGTGGGGTGGTGCTTGTCACCATGCCCCCTGCTCCCGGAATGTTGGTACCCCTGTCCACGTGTCCCTGAGGCACCTCCTTGTAAGGAGTACTGAGGTGGGGTCCGGCCTTGCTGGGGTCACTGTGACCTGGGCTGAAAGTATCCACCCTGAGAGGCTTCTCTTCTTCGGTCCCAGGCCTTGATCGTTGGCTTGTAGTTCCGAGTTCAGTATCACTTCATCAACAAGGGACACACAGTGATAGGCTGAGGCTCAAATGTCCCATGCCCTTTTCCGGCCTCCAAGTTCCCACAAGAAGCCCCTTGGCCTGACCCACCCGGAAGTCAGAGGCCAGGCCACTGTGGGCAGTGGCCAGAGGAAAAGTTGGTGGATCTGGACAAGATTAGAAGCTTCCTCCAGTCCTGCCCAACCCTGGTCCAAGCTCCTTCTCCCTCCCCTTGAGCAGTGGGTCCCAGCAGGGCTACTGAGAGCATGAGATCCTGGCAAAGGGGGCCACTGGGGCTTGGAGGGGGCTGAGTCGCTGAGTCTGCTCCCAAAACCACTTGCTATGGCTTCAGAAGGCTTCTAATGGCTGAGTTTCTGGAAGTAGTTTTCCAGGTCTTTCTTCCTAGGTTCCTCTCGGGTGTAATAGACGAGCACGTAACCATTTGCACCACCCAGGAAAAGGACTTTTTATAAATGTACATATAAGCATTGCTCAGACCAGTCATGGCTTTGGTCTAGGTGGTCCCTCATCCCTGCACAAGTCCCCCTGGGCCCGCCTGAGGCCTGTTGTGCTGTCCTGTGTCCTTCCAGGCCTGCATGGAGACCATGTTCCTGTGCCTTCACTTCTGGGGCTGGAAGGGTCTGGAGAGACCCCCTGGGCAGAGTGCCACCAACATGAATGATATGACTGCGTTCCAGACCACCATGTGCTCCATCCTGGTGAGAAAGTTACACACATGGGGCTGAGCCGAGGCTAGAGGCGGCCACAGCCTTTAACCCTGTGGCCCTGTGTTTACCTTCTAAACGTGAAATATCGAGACAGTACTTGGCGACAAAATCAGACCGGAAGAACATACCGATTTTCAGTTTTCTAGCAGGCACAGAAAGTGAAAAGAAGTCAAATTAATTTTAATAATAATGTATTTTGCTGTTATGTACCGTGGAGTCATTGTTATATTCCAACTCGTAGCGACCCTGCACAGGGTTTCTGAGGCTATAAATCTTTACCGGAGCAGAAAGCCTCATCTTTCTCCTGCAGAACAGCTGGTAGTTTTGAACTGCTGACCGTGAGATTCGCAGCCCGATTCATAACCACTATGCTACCAGAGCTTCCTTAATAATGTGTTTTATGTAACCAAAATTAAGGTTCTTGGATGGTACAAACGGTTAAGCACTCAACAACAATCCAAAATGGTAGTTCGAAACCGCCTCGAAAGACAGGTCGGTCTTTGAAAGCCTTGAAAACTCTCAAGAGCGCAGTTCCACTCTCCATACATGAGGTTGGCATGAAATGGCCCCTAACAACAACAACACAGTACATCTCAAACACTATTTCAACATGTAGTAACTATGTTGTTGTTGGTGGTGGCACCAACAGAACGAAGCATTGCCAGTCCTGTGCTTTCTTCACAATCATCCTTCTAGTCTTGAGCCCATTGTTGCTGCCACTGTGCCAATCCATCTCGTTGGGGGGTCTTCCTCTTTCTCGCTCACTCTCTATTTTACGAAGCATGATGTCCTTCTCCAGGATCTGGTCCTTCTTGATAACACATCCAAAGTCCAAACCAGAGATTCAGACTCACTGTTCTCACTTCTCAGGATCCTGTTAGCGGATTGTGTTTCTTCCAAGAGAGATTTGTTTATTTTCTGGCAGTCTGTGATAAATTCAGGAGCACAGTAGTTCTGTAGAACAAGTACTGGACTGCTAACCACAAGGTAAACAGTTCGAATCCACCAACAGCTCCATGGGAGAAAGTTGAGGCTTTCTGCCCTGGCAAAGATTTACAGCCTTGGGATTTTCAGCAAGATGGTCGGTTAGGAAGACACACTACACGAACCCTCCATAACAAAGATACGAGAGACCAAATGAAAAAGACACAGATGAAAATGCTGGAACCCTGAACTTCAGAGGAAAAGTTTGAGAAGTGGATTGAGGGCTTACTGGGAGGAGAAGCTGAGCAGGTATGGCAAGGCAGGGAACTGACTGAGGAACGGTCAGCCAGACGTGGTAGAACCATCTTGAACTTTTGTGAGCAGCTTTGGGGATAGCAGGTGGCCTGGCAGAGCAGATTCACACAGGCAGCGGAAAAGATGGAATTCCTTCTTTTTCCCCATACTCCCTTAGTGACTTGGTGAGGGTGGCCAGCTCCCACCCTCATCCATCCCCAGTGCAGACCCTGATCTCTAGGAGTTTGGAGGCATGTGGTGTGAACCACGCCAGTATGAGGCAGGGACCAGCTGTACTGCTTTGTTGCCTCGGTTCAGAAGGGCTCAGTTCCAGACCTACAGAACCTGCAAATGCACCAGACCAGCATTAGTCCAGCAGAAACCCCATAACCTAACACCCTCCCTGTGCCCTGTGGTCCTAATAGACGCTTAAAACCAACTCCATCAAGGAATGAGTGCCTTGAATGTAGATACCACCTAGGCCAAGAGGAACTCCATCTCGGGCCAGCAACCCCGCGGTCACATCCCTCCCACACTCCCACACCCAACTCAGGAGCTTCTTGGCTGACAGGAACCCTGTTCCCCGCCCCCCACCCCCCACGCCCACACACACAAGAGTTTTCTCCTTTCTGGGTCCAACAACTGTACTGATTATTTTGATATTTGTCTTTTCCTTTCCTTGTTTTATTGTTTTTGCTGATTCTTTCATCTCCTCCTTCTTTTTCTATTCCTGTGAATCTCTGCTTTTGCATTCCTTCATTTCTTCTCTTTCTCATTTTCCCTCTTTGTTTATTTTTCTTTTTAAATCTTTCTATGATGCTCTGGTAGCATAGTGGTTA